AGTTTATTTGAATATGCCAGGTTGTCCGTCGACTCGCTCTTCTCGTTTGCGTCGTTCAAATGATTTTCTACTGGCATTCCATGTGTAATACGTATGCACTTCCGAATACAGCAGTGTTTTCGCGAACACGTCATTTTGACTTAACGTGAAAAAAGCAGTTAACGTTGTAGCCGGTGGATTCATAGCTGTTTCTTGTACATTTGCAGCTGTGAAATAAATGTGTTATTCATTTTCTTGTTTTCAAAACAGAAGCAAAAAATACTAACGAAATATTTCAATTCAAACGCAGATCAATGGACACAGCTCAATTTCACCACCAACTGCACTGAAAAATAAGAACAATTAAAAAAAACGAAATTAAAAAAATGGAAAAAAAAACAAATAAGCTTTACCCACGAAATGAACGGTATGGTAAACTACACAGCTCAATTTCAACGCAACGTCACACAAAATAATTAAATAAAAATGAAAATAAATCAAAATCTATGAAAATTCAATTTATCAATGCAATCGGAAACATTGAAATGGAATCGTAACATATTTTATATATCGTGCGTTGCTCTTATGTGCAACAGATGGCGCTGTTTAAAAAAAACCGCATGTTTTTACCTTTCCCAGGTGTAGCATCTAAATAGTAGGTATATAAAAACATGCACGTATTCGAATGGAACGTTGTGTCAAAATTTGAAAGCAATTGGTGAAGAACTTTCGGAGATTACAGCGTGTGTTTCTCTTACGTCCTACAGATGGCGCTGTTTTTCAAAAAAGCATGTTTTTTTCCTGTCACAGGTGAGGCATGTATATAGCAGGTATACAAAAACAATCGCCTATTCGAATGCAATGTTGTGTCAAAATTTCAAAGCAATCGGTAAAGAGGTTTCGAAGATTTCCCTCACATGTAAAACACCCGAAAAACACAGCTTTTCAAAAAAAGCATGTTTTTCCCATCACATACGTGACATCTATATAATATGTATATAAACACCTGCTCGGATGCAAAGGGAACGTTGTGTGAAAATTTCAAGGCAATCGGTGAAGAACTTTCGGAGATTACAGGGTGTGTTGCTTTTACGTACAACAGATGGCACCGTTTTTCAAACGAGCATGTTTTTACCTGTCACAAGTGTGGCATGTATAAAGAAGGTATATAAAAACACGCGCAAATTCGAACGCAACGTTGTGTGAAAATTTCAAGGCAATCGGTGAAGAACTTTCGGAGATTAGCGATTTTGAACAAACGAACATTTCCATTTTTATTTATATAGATGATTAAACTATTTTAAATAAATTATTTTCGTTAACTGTTTGAGCTTGATGTTTTAAATCAAATACTCTTGTTTGTTGGCATCTGCGCTGGAATTTATTAAGAACCTATATCAATAAAAATGTAAATGTTCGTTTTGTTCAAAATCGCTAATCTCCGAAAGTTCTGTCTGATTGCTTTGAAATTTTGACTCGACGTTCCATTTGAATACACACGTGTTTTTATATACTTGCTATATAGATATCACGTCTGTGACAGGTAAAAACGTTTTTTTTAAAGCTGTGTTTTTCATGTGAGTTTTCATTTGAGGGAAATCTCCAAAACTTCTTTACCAATTGCTTTGAAATTTTGACACAACGTTGCGTTCGAATTTGCGCGTGTTTTTATATACCTGCTTTATACATGCCACACTTGTGACAGGTAAAAACATGCTCGTTTGAAAAACGGTGCCATCTGTTGTACGTAAAAGCAACACACCCTGTAATCTCCGAAAGTTCTTCACTGATTGCTTTGAAATTTTGATAGTGTTCCATTCGCAAAGGCCCATGTATTTATATGCTTACTATATAGATGCCACACCTGTGATAGGTAAAAACATGCTTTTTTGAAAAACAGCGCCGTCTGTTGGATGTAAAAGCAACATACGCTATACTAAATATTTTAAGATTCCATTTAGATGTTTCCGATTGCGTTGTTAAATTGCATTTTCATAGATTTCCATTTATTTTCAATTTGATTTAATTATTTCATGTGACATTGCATTGGAATTGAGCTTTGTCGTTTACCATACCGTTCATTTTGTGAATATAGTTTATTTCTTTCTTTTTTCATTTTTTTCATTTCGTTTTTTAACTGTTCTTCTTATTTTTCAGTGATGGGAATATCAGATCATTTGATGTTTCCTTTTTTCCTGATAGGAACATCAGATCATTTTTTTAAAGTATCGGACGGGGGAGAGGGAATGGTTGGGAGGACGAGGGGATGGGGAGGGGGGGAGTGGTGGGGTGGACGAGGGGATGGGGAGGGGGGGAGTGGTGGGGTGGATGAGGGGATGGGGAGGGGGGGGAGTGGTGGGGTGGATGAGGGGATGAAGGAAGGTTGCTGAGCCACAGCAACACGTGGCCGGGGACAGCTAGTTTATTAATAATCATACTTGACCGCCGCGTTAGAGATGAACGGGTTTTGCGCTATTCTTAAATAATTCTTTTCACAAAATTACAACATGATTATTCTCGTGTCATACACTTATCCGTTGATCTGATAAAACACTTTCTAGTCATTCGCACACTAGATTTTACACAGTTGAAGAACACTTACCCACTGGCACTGAGTGCTAGCCGTGCTGGAGAACAAAATAGTCCCGCACTAGTTCAGGTAAACGCTGAAAATTCTAATTTCTATTTCTGAACTTAACAATATTCACATTAATGCCGCACTCTGATAATCACAGATGACACCTGGGGTCGCAAACTTAACACATGAGATGGAATTTCTTCCAAAACACGAAATTCTGGTACAATATTGACTTTCAATATTGACAATATTTTAAAAATTTCAAAAAGTTAACTTTCTGGCAGTGCATCACTGCATATAAAGTGCTTCCCACCAAACACTTACTTTAAGTACCCTCATTTCAGAAGAGTGGGTAGATGCTGACCAGTGTCAACTGTCCCTCCACCCTTAAGGGCGGAGGAATACGACTAGCCTGTGAAACACACGCAAGAAATTGATCAACTGTGCACTCTCACGAGAGATATTGCACAGTAAATCACGACTAGGGTCCAACTGTGCCAGGCATGACGTAGATTGCTCGACGATGGTGGGTTGTATTTGCCGTCACAGCAACGCGTTCTCTTGATTTGTCACCCCGTAAGAAATGCTATGATTTTACGTAACCAGAAACGTTCAAACCTAATCCGCCCTCTAACCTATTGAGCTGAATACATAAAAAACGTCAAAAGTACGATGTGTCAGTTTTTACAAATTCGTTTCAATTATAACGAATTTGTAGATTCTGGTTAAAAATATACTTTTATTAAGTGAGAAAACGTGGTGATATTACATTTCTTGTCAAATACTGAGAGCTAATATTTACTTTTCTTACTTAAGAGTTGAGTTTGGTGGCGAGGCTGAGCACCGCCGTTACAGCTAAGAGTTACGGCTCTTTCTTTCATCATTAGGCTCGCTAAACCTCTGACATTTCACACTCGTACTTCTTACAAAGTTGAAACACGTAATTACAGAGGAAAACATTGTCATTTGTTTATTTTTAGAAACATTAAAACACATTTTATGTGCACTGATCGAATCTTTCCACGAGATCCATGACAATAGGGACTAGAACTTATGACATGATTTTTCCTCGCGACTCACTGCTCATTACTATTAATAATAGTTTTACTGGGAACAGCAATAGAGTCTCGGTGACAGCAATAGCCGAGAACCTATTGCCTGGGATCAGCTTCTGAAAAGTTTCACAACCAGCCTGGTGGTCGGGTCGTAACGGCCGTGGACACCACGCTGGACCACCACCCTGGTCGTGGTGGCGGGCATGGACACCACGCTCCACCACCAGCCTGGTCGTAGTGGCGGCCGTGGACACCACGCTGGACCACCAGTCTGGTCGTGGTGGCGGCCGTGAACACCACGCTAGACCACCAGTCTGGTCGTGGTGGCGGCCGTGGACACCACGCTGGACCACCAGCCTGGTCGTGGTGGCGGCCGTGAACACCACGCTGGACCACCAGTCTGGTCGTGGTGGCGGCCGTGGACACCACGCTGGACCACCAGCCTGGTCGTGGTGGGGGCCGTGGACACCACGCTAGACCACCAGCCTGGTCGTGGTGGCGGCCGTGGACACCACGCTGGACCACCAGCCTGGTCGTGGTGGCGGCCGTGGACACCACGCTGGACCACCAGCCTGGTCGTGGTGGCGGCCGTGAACACCACGCTGGACCACCAGCCTGGTCGTGGTGGCGGCCGTGGACACCACGCTGGACCACCAGCCTGGTCGTGGTGGCGGCCGTGAACACCACGCTGGACCACCAGTCTGGTCGTGGTGGCGGCCGTGGACACCACGCTGGACCACCAGCCTGGTCGTGGTGGCGGCCGTGAACACCACGCTGGACCACCAGTCTGGTCGTGGTGGCGGCCGTGGACACCACGCTGGACCACCAGCCTGGTCGTGGTGGGGGCCGTGGACACCACGCTGGACCACCAGTCTGGTCGTGGTGGGGGCCGTGGACACCACGCTGGACCACCAGCCTGGTCGTGGTGGGGGCCGTGGACACCACGCCGGACCACCAGTCTGGTCGTGGTGGCGGCCGTGGACACCACGCTGGACCACCAGCTTAGTCCTACAGACACTAAGTTACAATATCGTGGCTGTAAATGACACACAAATCTTACAGCTGAAGATAAAGGGAGCGACGTTTTGTTCCGTCGTGACCATGATCATGTGCAAGGCAAGAGTAGTAAAGTGAGTCAATATAAGGTAAGAAAGTGAGGCTGTGGGTGACAAGGTGTACCGGTGGTGTCCAACTAGAAAAGGCAATGACAAAAGAAGTTGTGGAAGCCTCCTCCATTCACAACTTTAAGACCAGATTCGACAAGGAATTCAAACGTCAGAACAGATAGGTTATAAGGTAACAGGAACAACGGGGCGGGGCATAAAGAGCTAGCCCTCCATTCTCAGTAGATACTGATAGGTTAGTAACCGGCACTCTGGAATACTCACGGCTCTCGATCTTCATGTGACACTCCTGAGTGTCGTGGGGATACATCTGGAAGTTCATGGCACAGGAGAGCACCAGTGTCAGTCTGGGGAAGACAAATAATGAACAAAGTTAAGACTTGATCAAGAAAAGGAAACAATACGGTGAGTGAGCTTTGATGAAGCACTTACCATGCATCTGTCTCACTGACTGTGTCTCACTGTGTCTCACTTTCCACCCCCACCCCCTGTGTCTGACTGTGTCTCACTGTGTATCCATATTTCTCACTGTGTCTCACTTTTTCCCCCTGTGTCTGACTGTGTCTCACTGTGTATCCATATGTCTCATTGTTTTCCCCCCGTGTCTCCCTGTGTCTGACTAATATATATATATATATAATACACACACAATTCTCAATGACTTACTCTTCCACTGATGTTTGGAAAGAATATTGTACCACACAGGAATACTGAATTATAAAATAATGACATCACCGTTCAACAAAAAATGCACAAAAGTATAACAATACTAAATGTGGTGTGTGTGTGTGACACGTATACCAATGACAGTGAACGGATACAGTATCATGCATACTGCTGTACCCACACTTGTTCCGTTGTTTCATTGACCAGTTTAACTCTCACCTGTATCGGGTGATAACGAGCTTAATACAGATCGGACGGCTGATCCAAGATCAACATTAGGAACACATTAACACAAGAGAAATATTTATACTTACTTTAAGGCCGGCTTGTCACTCACACCTTGCATACACACAACGTTGAACTGTAGACGCTCCGGTGAAATACTCCAGCAATTTCGGCACGTGGTAACATGCGAGTAACACAGAGTTGGCCCTAGGTGGCAGGTGCAACTAATTCCTAGCTGTGTGTGGCGCGACACTCAAGCTAGGGTGCGCGTTGATGACAGCTACACACAAGGGTGGCAGGGTGAGCGCGAACACACAGGGTGGTAGGGTTGCGCGGCTTGGAGGGAAATTTCACTGTCTTAATTGGCTTTAAAAATAGTTATCTCCGAGAAATTAACGGCAACAATGGAGAATCACGAGGATTAGTGTGATAACACTGGCAAGTCTGGTTACTTCTTGCGGGTGGCAACGGGCTGTACACGATCTCTCATTGTAAATCCCTCATACCCAAGTTAATTAACAAATATAGCGAACCCGATTCTGCAGTGAATCCCACTAAATGAAATGAAGCAGATGACGAGATAATGCAGGCGATGAGTCACAATAACGTGGCTAAAATATGTTGACCAGACCACACACTAGAAGGTGAAGGAAGGACGACGTTTCGGTCCGTCTGGACCATTCTCAAGTCCTGGATCGACTTGAGAATGGTCCAGGACGGGCCGAAACGTCGTCGTCCCTTCACCTTCTAGTGTGTGGTCTGGTCAACATGGCGAGATAATAATTAACGTCGATTAGGCAATGGATGTAGGTTGTAGCTGGCAGCACAGATCCTCACGTCTTGGTAACGCGAAAGACGACTTCAGAATGCTGCTGGCAGGCTGCGTAGGACATACACCGAGGCTCTCCTCCACATCTGCACAAAATATAAAATTACCCAATCAGGCACTGGGCACTGAGGCCTTTACCAATCAGGACAGTTACCTCCAGGTGGCGAGAGGGCCGTAACGACATAACTACGTCTCGGTGAAGGCCTAGGGAATATCGCTGCGGTTGGTCCTTAATTGTCCGCTCTCTCTGACCTCAAACTCGAAAGTTCTTCCTGACTGTGTTTCTGGATATTGGCTCCCTGTACTAGTTCACATACATCACTTCTCCTCACTGTAATTAACAAACGGCTAGGTAGAAAACGGCTCTCGCGATACCAATAGCCTTCTGATGACATGAGTTTTCCACAGATACCCAACAAGGTAAACTGTATTAACTCTTGTATTAACAAAACTCGACCTTGTGCACACACATTTGTGCACCCTTGAGAGTTAACTGTCGCGGTGCACTCACGGTGCACACAATAAGACAGCTGGCAATATCCATCCTCTCACAAAATGAAAACATGAAAGTTAAATTTACATTGAACAAATTATATACAAACAAGTTAGGCCTTATGAATTATTCACCAAGAACCATAAACCGTGCACAAGCTGCTTCCGCGGGTCATGGTCAGTGTTAAACACCTGGGAGCACCTGGAGAGAATGTCTTCTAACAGTTGTTGTTTTAGATTCAGCTACTCAGAACAAAAAGTTCCAAGTAGCACGGGCTATGGTGATCCCATAAGTGGAAGGTCTTTGGAAACATTATCTGAATCCATACCTGATACTGGAGATCTGTGGATGGGGTCCTTGGACACGCCAATCCAATCCAAGAGCAGGACTGCAGATGATGATTGAGAAAGATTAAAACACCCTAAAGGTGGCACGGGCAATAATACCCCGTGAGTGGAGGCTCTTTCAACCCATTACCAGTAACAATAGCCGATACCAAAGATCTGTGGATGGATGGGGGTCTTCTTGGTGAATTTCAGCCTCAGAGGGCTGGCTGTACCAGTTATGAAGGCTGAGGGCTGGCTGTACCAGTTATGGAGCTGGTGGGTTAGTGTAGACCTCTAGGTCTTCCATTTTTTCTTTGGCTGAGACTTGCTGCGAGCTTACATGGCCATGCTGTCACTGGAGTTTGGTGAGGTGGCCTTCATGAGGAGGTCTTGTACCGAGTAGGTGTCGTATTTGTGCTGCGGCGGTGGAGCTCCTACTAAGATTTCCTCATCTGAGGATTCCGTAACATCCATAGTTGGTGGTTTTGTCTTTGGTCTCGCAGCCTGAGGTAAGCTCAGGTGTCGTGGATTAGTGGTAGAAGCTATTTCAGGAGCGTTGGTGGTGCTGTTATTATTTGTAGACAGCACATCTGCTAGCGCATGTGCTAAGATGGTGATGGTAAGAATATTGGGAGCTGGAGAGGGCAATTCCTCTGTGCCGCCCAGGTCTTGGGTGGTTCTGGAGTCTGTGTTGACATCGACCTCGTGGTTTTCCTGGTGGTAGTCTTCGGAGTGGTAGTAGAGGCAGTGAGACTTGCATCCGGGGCGGTGAGGGGGTCCAGGCCGTTGGCTAGGTACAGCGTGTTGAGTTTCCTGATGAACCATTGATTGTCTGGTCCGGCAAAGCCTCTCCTCTAGTAGAATAAGACCAGAGAGAATGCCTGCACGTGATGCAAGGGACTGTAAGGGTGCTGGTTGGTCCTTAGGTCTCCAGTGTGGAGGCTGGGTGGCCTCTTGGGAGGAAGCCACTGATTGGTAAGAGTGGAAAGTCTTCTCGTAGGTTGGTGGGAGCTGAGGTGCTGGGTTTGGTGCCAGTGGCTCCGGCGGCGGAAGTCGAAGGTTTGGCTTTATTGGATTCAGCCTGGATCCTAATGATTTCCTGTCTGCGAGGGCAGCAGTTGGAAGTTGCAGGGTGATCGCCACTGCAGAGCAGGCAGCAAAGGGTTTTTGACTTGCAGATGGAGTAATGATGGTCCTGGGCGCAAAGACTGCACATCTAGACAGCGTGCTGACACTTATTGTTGGGGGTAGGAGTAATCACAGCGCCGAAAACACTGTTGGAGCTTGTGGAATCGTTCCTTCTTCACTTGGAAGGGTGGAATCTTGAAGCCAAAGGAGTGGAGACCATGTGTGGTAGCCTGGCTGGCCACGGCTAAGGTGGTCAAAGATATCTTCATGGTGAGGGTGCTTGTCGTCGTCGGAACCGGTGCTACAGAATATAACATCGAATACTACCAGGTTCGGGTTTTCTTCCTCTATGTTGGTTATGATCTCCGCTTTTCTTGGTCTGCGATCCAGCGGCTGGTCCTGCTGATAAGACAGTGGTATACTGACATGGGAAGAGAGTAAAGAGGTGGTGCAGTTGGCGAAGTGCGATTTTCTTGGGATTTTTTTCTTTTGAGAAAAATGGAGTTTTTCGAGATCCTCCACACATGAGAAATAGAGCACAATACTCTTCCCTTTTAGACAGAGGTCGATGGGTTTAATGCCGGCGCTATCTTTTAGGATCTTCAAGACCAAAAGATACGTTCACCAAAAGATCTTTTGGTGAACTTATGGCCGTCCATGGGGCGAGTCCTTACTTTTAGGCTTTTGTGGCATATTGTCATTGTTAAAACCCTCTTAACGGGATGCAGTGGCGATGGATGTCTTGTGAAGTTACTCAGACTTGCTAGTGTGGAACTGTATGGTGCTTCTAGGAGCCGGTTAGGTGATATTTATACCCCTCCTGGTGAAGTCACATCCTGTGTCAACACTTCTAAACTACCAGCTGGCAGAATAATGGGCACCGGTGCGCATGGAGTCTCGATAAAGGGGTGTGGATGGGGGAGGGGGGTTGTTTGTGCGATTCACACTGTCTGGGACGCAGGTGCAAACGTAGATAGTGAATTCTGTACATGTTAGTAATGAATTTTCGTCGCGACGAAGATGACAATGACGAAGGTAAGATGGAAAAGGTTGTTTACCCTGCTATGCAGGGTAATTGTGTGACATTTGCCCAAGGCCAAAAAAAATCGTACTAGAAATGGTAGCGGCTCACGAATTTGACAATGTCCCGTTTTGTGTTCATGGTTCCTCTGGGAAGTTAGGATAGGGCACTTTAGTGCGACAGGATCTTGACGATGGGAACGCTCACGAGAACAGGTTGCTTTGTTGTGGGAGCCATGGTCCTGACAAGTCCTCCTTTTCCGCCTGCGGCAGCGACGATGACACAGATGAAGACTAACTGGGTGAGGGGTGCTGTAATGACCAGTTTAAGTTGGGGGGTAAAGTATGTTGGGAAGAGTTATGGATGGTGACCAGATAGGTCCAGTGCGGGTATTGGCAAAGGTAGCCAAGTAGTAGCAGTGTGATATTGACAAGGTATTTATTATAACATGAAAGGTATATGGAGTATATTTGATATAATTAAATTATAAAACCTGAGTGGGGCTTCAATCACCTTCCTTGTATTATCACATGTTCGTTTCAGCTCAATTAACTGGTACGTCTCAGGAGACGTAGGTGTGTAGCACTTGAATGGAATATTTCGTGATGACAAATTATCTATAGTTTAGATTAACTTTGTAAGTAAACAATAGACATTCC